AAGTTCACCCAAAAAGTTATTTTAGGATGTATTGAGCATTGATGCATTTAACAGTGCTGCATGTTCAGCAGAGCTAAGAGGAGAAAATAGACAGATTGAAGTTGTGTTTGCACATCCTATCCAGACTGAGGGTTCTGAATGTCCAATTGTTTAGTCTTCGTTATCATAATTGCACTAACGTTCAATGACCGGGATGCTTTTTTTCTTTACAGCGGTCAAAAATTCACGAAGCACCCCATTTCTCTCCTCTAAGATCTATTCTTCACTATATGCACTGAGCAACTGTTCAACGAAACTGCTTTAGCTTTCCCCTCCAGTGCCTCTAATTCCATTAAACTCATTACAATAAGTGAGCCGTACCGGTCTTCAGCATGCAGAAGCCATAAACCAATGATTGGGGTAATAATCCGAGCCTTCACTGGGACATTTTACCGAGTGTTTGAAGAAGCACCATTCGCGGTGCATCGGTCATTGGGCATAGCTAGATGATGTGTTCGCATGCATATAAAGGAAGGCATTAAACATGTCCCTCTCTCTCTTCATTTTGGCAGACTGGGCAAGCTCATTAGCGGAGAAAGAGCTGCCAGCTGGGTTTTCCTTTGGGAGTTGGCTTCCTTATACCAAGTTCTCAGGCAAAAAAGAGGCAATGTGTAACAAACGAATTCACCAAGTGAAATGATTCCAAAACAGAGAACTCATAACAAGTCCCCATTTAATAGCCAGGAGGGGATGTTCCACAGCTTTCATAAATAAAAGATTAATTTCCAGAAGACTGGAATGTTTTAACATTAACAGCTTGGATTCCACCTCCACTTAGTTTCACTTGAAAATCTGAATAGTATCAATTTAATGAGAGTAGCTTCAGGATGACATGAACCAGGCCAAATGTAGTCCAGCGATAGTTACCACATGGATTCTGTTTTTTTTTTTTTTTTTTGGGGGGGTGAAGCAATCAGTTCTGGCCCTGGATGCCAAATGGTCAATAATTAATGCAGTAATTTCTCTCCCTTTTGGTCATGGGAATAACCCGTTTATCACATGCATGAGACTCTCATGAGTTGTGATGTTTTATAGATGATATCTGTTGGTTGCCTCCTATGTTGACCCACAAAATAAAGAGTGTTGTGGTTAAGGGTCAAAACCACTGATCTATATAAATGGCTGCTTGCTCATTATGTCATAAAAAGTGAAGCCACTGCGCCATATTGGTATTCCCTAGTATTACCTCACATTCTATCCTATTAATTAATAGGAAACCATCTGAATTGAATGAAAACATTGACTAGCAAGTATGCGTTTTTATATCTGAAGTCTCCCTGTACATTCTTACAAATCAGGAATTTCCCCTACTTATTAAAAGTTGAGTCTTCATTATAGCAGCGGATATCAGATCAGCTGACGGATGAGCAGTGATGGGAATAACGGCGTTATAAATAAACGGCGTTACTAACGACGTTATCTTTTTCAGTAACGAGTAATCAAACGAATTACTGTTTCCCCCGTTACAACGCAGTTACCGTTACTGACAAAAAAAATGTGGCGTTACTATAATTGAACTCACTGAAGCGGCTTTCATCCGAGTAGGCTCTCTCTCCGCCATAGGACCTGCAAAGTTTTTTTCTCTGGTGTGTGTGTGTGTGTGTGTGTGTGTGTGTGTGTGTGTGTGTGTGTGTGTGTTTATGAGGCGCCGGAGTGGACAAAAGCGAAGCGATTGGCGCGAGCGTGCTCAATGCGCGAGAGAGACCGAATGTGTCCGAGAGCGCGCTCAACAGTTGCGCAAGAGAGACCGAGGGTGTCCGAGCATTATATAGTTTGTTTATAAATAAATGACACATATCTGGAACGTTAATTAATTTACATGGTTATACAAATAAAATCTAAAAAATTACCGTCAGGTAACGTTCTGTTTAGGTTATAAAATAAACATAAAAATAACCTGCAGGGAACATTCACAGAAAACATCTTTGTTTGACCGGTTGTGTAAACACGTGCGGCAAACATGTCTAGAATTTGGCTTAAATAATCTCTGATGATGACGTTCGCTATAGGTTATAAAAATAAACACCCAAAATATTATATTTTAGTATTTTTTTTTTTTTTGGTAAATTGTTCAGTATTATATTGAGAGAGCACTTGTTAAACTGTTTACTTTTGTTAGGAAGAAAATACTCAGGCTACAGTATGTCTACTAGTTGTGAAGTTGTGTAACACTCTTTGTGCATATTAAAATGATAAAACTATGTATATTTTTTATTATTATTTATTCCTTTTTGGTACATTTCTTAAGAAGCATAATTTATTTTTAAACTTATTTGTTGGCCATTTTGTGTGCGATATTAAGTAAACCATCTATAATGTTTTATTGTTCTACTATAGTAATGCTAATATTTAGAATAATATATTGAATTTAATAGGCGTCTCTCACATTGTCCCACAGCAACATTAAAATAGAATAAATTATTATTATAAAACATTGAACACTAATCTACTCTATTAAGTGTCCATTTCATTAATTTAACATATTTAATACTGGGGGCATCCAAATTATTTGACATAGGCCTATTTGATTTTTTTTTATTTAAGTAACGCAATAGTTACTTTCTCTGGTAATTAGTTACTTTTATAATAAAGTAACTCAGTTACTAACTCAGTTACTATTTGTGAGAAGTAACTAGTAACTATAACTAATTACTTTTTTTAAGTAACATGCTCAACACTGCGGATGAGATACCTCAACATTTGTTAACAAATTTTAAAATGATTCTTCTGAAATCTGCAGATTTATGCTTTGTAAGGCATGCACATACTTAATTCGTAATGTAAATTATTCAACAGTGTTTTCATTAACAGCATTTATTTAGAAGCAGTAAAGATAACGACCTAAACATTAGTTAAATTATAATTAGATCAACAATATATACACTTAATTCAAACTGTCATGCTAGTAAAAAGCCATAGAATTTGAGCTGACCTGTGGCTCTTTAACAGTTTCCAAAATCTCCAAGAGTCTGAAGTGGATGTTGGTCAACAACAAGATAGGAAATAATATACGCAACTTATTCAGAGAAATAAAGAATTAAATATGGAATTTAAAGATATGAAGCTTTATTTCCAAGCATTTACACTGTCACTCCGAGCAAGATGATGCATGGTAAACCTTGGATTTTAATGCAATATAGTGAAATATATATCATAAGAGAGTCTGGAAACCTCTTTCCTTTTTTGCTGTGTGAGTGATTTGGGCTGTCTGAGGCCATTTCCCTGTCTGCAGCTGATTTGACAGGCCTCTCAGGTTTCCCTTGACAGCATGTCACTGGTACCAGACCAAAAGAGCAGCTTAAGTCTGACACACCACGCAATGCCTTCTACTGCGCCATCAGTGCAAAACACATTAGGGTTGTTGCGATAACCGCAATATTGTAATACCACCATACTGAGAAACCAACCGCAGAGTGCAAGCAATCGCATCAACTGCGATGTTCATGTGTTTTCTTTTTTTCATAAGGCTATGCCCTTCTTGATTTACACTTCATGCATGTGTATTTAATGTTAAATAAGCAAATAATGATTGTATTTTTTCTGTCAACTGGCTCGTTTTTACTTAAGATTCTGTGTATAATTGTGATTTGTACAGAGGCTCCGTAGATTTGCACTAAACAAGCCTAAACGGACAGCGAATGAGAGAGAAAGCTCGACTGAGCATGTGCGATTACCTGCATCTGTCCTTCTTCAGGTCAAGTCATATATTTGTGAAAAAAAGTTTGCCATTTCCGAAGAGGAAAGCGAAATCTTTGTCATAGCATCCTGTCAACGGTTTGGGCATTTCCCATTAATGGCGTCAGTGCTGGTCAATGAATTGAATCAATGCCATTGGTCTCTATGAAGTGAAGCATCAGCTTCAGCGTTACTGTGGCGATGCATTGCTGGTCGGTTGAGACTTAAAATAAAGAATAATGATAAAATAAATTTATTTATTTTATAAAATAAAATAAAAATAAAATAAAACACATTGTTTCATTAAGGAATAAATGAGCATTTTTGAACATATTAGTTGAATGAACAGTTTAATGGACTCACTCACCTAGTGGCGTAACAATGTAACCTGCACTGACTAACAGCCTAGAAAGCGCAGAGACAAGCAGTGTCTGGTGAAATATCAGCAGTTTTAGAAAGACTCTCGTCCAGTCAGATTCGAATATTGTAACTGATATACATATAGCCCAACAAGCTTATTGTCAGGTTTATGTTCTGTTATGTGGACCCTTATTTTGACATTCTGTTCTGTTTCCTTTAGTTCCTGTTTCCCCGCTCTGTTTAGTTTCAGTGTCATTGGTTACTGATTATATCCTCATTTGTTTCTATAGTTATATGTCTAGTTTACTTTCTTTTGTACAACCCCTGTTTACATAGTCCTGTGTTTCAGATGTTCTTGGTCAGTTCTCGTTTTTGCATTGTCTGGTTTGCGTTATTCTCCTGCGGGTTCATTCAGAGTGTTTGGATTATTAATAAAGCCTGTTTTGTTTTTGAATCTCATTCGTCTTCCTGCATGCTGACCACATTGTAACACTTATTGATATATTAAAAAAATAAATATATTTTTAAATGTCGATAATAATATTGCAAGATATTGCAAATCATTGTCATTGTTTTTCCTAATGTAGGAAGACGACAGCTCATGTCAGTTCAACTAAAACAACATTCACAATTCATGTTTCAGATAAGAAGATATCATCTTCTCAGCCTTGTTATCTTGTTACATTAAGGAAGCATGAAGCTGACACAGATAAAACGTTAATGGAATCTTCTTTGTTTACCTGTAAGCTTGTTTGGTGCTTTAAAAAACGTAATTGTCCATACTATGAAAGTCAATGTTTTATATTAACCCAATTATAACATTTTACTAATTTCGTTTTTTTTTACATGTTTCTGAAAACAATGACAAGTAAAATCAACTAAATTAACACATTTGTCATAAAATATCTAAAACTATTGAGTCTTACCTCTTGATGGCCTTGTAGCAAATGATGACAGTCAGGAGGAGAAAGACCACAGATGCACAGCTTACTGTCCCCAGTACTAAGATCTCCATCTCTCTCCTCCAGGGTATTATGGGGGATACAGTGGAGGGAGCCACTGGAAGAGAGACAAAGTGTTAAAAATAGGGCTGGATAAAAAAATAAAAATAAAAGATTTCTCGATTATAATCAATTCTCATTTCGAAGAACCGATATCGATTCTTAAATCCCAGGAATATTTCAGTCTCTGCTGTTTTCAGCTGATGAATTAAAGATTTGTATCTTACCTCCCCTCCCATCCAATAAATCGCAATAAGTTTTGTGCTTTGTCAATTCTGATATGAAACAAAGGATCAGCTTTTAAATTCATGGCATGACAGATCACGCCTCAGTTTAAACAAAGTATAAAATAAATAAACATGAATGAAAATCAGAAGGTATGTTGAAAGACGTCAATAAAACAGCATGAAAACAATGTCACGTAAGCCATTCAAAACTCATTAGCCAGCTAGTAAAATCTAGAGCATTTTGCTAAATATATGCACTACATTGCATATTAATTGTATTTTTACTAGTGCTGGGCAACGATTAAATTTTTTTAATCGCGATTAATCGCATGATTTTCTTGCGATTAATCGCGATTAATCGCATTGTTACGCGCAAACTTTAATAATGAATTCTAAAGTAGTGTATTACTCACTTTTGATTTAAATGTACTGCTATATACACAAAAGTGTAATAACATGTGGTTTGCAAAAACTTTAAACAAATAAGGTGCTTTATACCAGCAGTATTCCCTTTACACAGCAATAAAATATTTATTGTAAATCTCAACCTAAACATTAATGTAATCAAATCAAATATTAAAACAAAGCTATTTGCCACTGCCAGGGCATTACCTTTTATCTAGCTTGTCAAAACGAGTCCAGTTTTCTTGTTTTTTTTCTTAACAGGTATCAACAGGTGTCTTTTAGCAGCAGAAACAGTCTATAGTCAGATGTCATGAGATATAAGTCGACCAACGTTACTTCTCTGATAGTAGCTTAGGTTTGGTCATGCCATGGTTTCCCACGTACACTAAGATTGCATTAAACAGAGATAAAGCCCAATTTATACTTCTGCGTCGAACTTACGTCGTACCCTGACTTGCACCTCTCCAAAAATGTAACAACGCGTCAATTCTACGCGTACCGCAAGCGCTGTGATTGCTAGAACCGCTCCACGGGTTTCACATGCTCCCTCTGCATGTGTAATTGCGCGTCAACGCGGACAACGACGCAGAAGTAAAATCAACCAACGTAGTGTATAGCGACACTACGAACAATACAATACACTACGAACGACACAGAAGTATAAATCAGCCTTTTAGAGTGAGGTGAATTGGTCGAGCACAAGGTGCAGCGACAAGCGGGTGCGTTCTGTGAAACTGTTGCGGTCATGCTCGCCTCACGCGCTCGCCTCACGCACGCGCCCGCCCGTTGCTGAAGTTGAATTGTCTAAAAGGACTTTGATTGTCTATAACTTTTTGTACACGACGCGCAGTACAAATCATTGGAAGAGAGACTGATCCTCGGCTCGCTGTTTGTGAGTTTCCAATATTTAAAAGTTATCAGGACATCAACAGAAGAGAATTCACATTGCAGAGCATCCCCGCTAAACTACACGCAGGCACATCAGGTAAAGTTATGTATAATTTTAATTTAAGTTAAAAAGACTACAGCTGCGTAGCGCACAGAAGCCGTTGCCGTGGTTACTATCCATAGAGCGCCTGTCATTCACTCGCGGAGCGCTGTCTCCCTTTCTGTTCACCTGAGAGAACCTGCCAAAGCCCCTCCACTGCTGGTTTGGGTGGGTTATTTGCTGGCTGACCAACATCCCACCCCTCCTGTGATCATGGTTTGACTGTAGGCCTATGTCCTATTCAGAGCCAGTGTGCAACGGACTTTTAAAATAAAAAAAATAAAAAAAACTGCGTTAACGTGCGATAAAAAAATTGTCGGCATTAATTAATAAATGCGTTAACGCGATAATAACGCGTTAACTTGCCCAGCCCTAATTTTTACTTAACCTGTTCTTCAATATTTATTGTATTTCTGAATAAATTCATCATGTTTTTATGACAGCACCATTTAAATATGTATTTTAAAAAAAAAACAGTAGAAAATAAGAGTAGAAAATGTATTTTATAAATGTTATTATAAAAACTCCCTTATGTGCAATTTAAAAACAAGTAGCCAACAAATCAGTTAATTTTAACCTTTAATATTATAGTGATGTACCAACTAGGGTTCCCTGTTAACACCATTAGTTAAGAGAGATTTTTTTCCTTGAGGAAATTTGCCATCTACTGAACCTGACCTACACCAATTAATCGATATTAGGGATGTTAACGGTATGAAAATTTCATATCACGATTATAGTGACCAAAATTATCACGATTATCAATATTATCACGGTTTTGTTAAAAGGAGATGAAAATGTTCAAAAAGAACTGATACGCACACTGAAAACATTTCAACAAGTTTTATATTTGGAAATCAACAAAACAATTAAAATTAGCACCTCTATGCACTTTTGTTAAGCATACACATTAAATGATATGACCGTCGTCAATAGCAACGCATTATAACACAGCGCACATCTCTTCTATCACCGCGGAAAAGCTCTCTCGTTTCATTAAAATGCTATTATAAATGAGGTTAGTGGATAATTCAGCAGCAAATGTTATTATAGTGGGGAAAAAAACCATTTAGTTTGGAACAAATAAAAGATAAAATGTTCCACATTGCTCTTTGTATTGTTATAAAATACATTGATGAAAAATAAAATAAATGTATTTACATATAAATGAAAAGAAATTTATTTTAAATGTATAGCGCAGCTTCTTCATGAGGCAACAACATTTGATAGATAGGACAGAACAAGAAAGACCATTTATAATATTAATCTTTTATTGGGCAAAAGTATTATAGGCCTAATATGAAAGGCTTCAATAGAGCACCAGAGCGCATCCTGTGCGCAGAATGATGCGCTTGAAGCAACATTGAGTCATTGTGTGCAGCGCTTCACATTAAAAAGTTCAGAAAACAAGGGGAGGAGAATAGATGTTGATGCTTACTGTATCATATCTATTCAACAGTTTATCGAGCCTTTTCTTTTAACAGTTGTAAATTTCAGTTACTGTGCGCGTGAAGAACAATTCAGAGTGTGATCTGACACCCGGGAGAAAGACTCATGATTTAGAAACATAAATATACTCCAGCGAGATAAAGTAACGTTACTTTTATGATAAATCATAGACCTTTTTCTACAAATAAAGTATAATAATGGGAACATTGATCTTGGAGTGAGATGAATATCCCGAGCGCTGTCACTGCTTTCAGCAATGTCTTCTCGTACAAAAAGACAACAACGTTGCGTTGTGGCTGCGTCAGACTGATGCTGCCTGGACAGGATTTACCGCGATTTTTACCAAAATCGTGATAATCGAACACGGTTTTCGTGATAGTTAAATTTTGAATGATAATACTAACCATCAGGACATCGTGAAACCGGTGATCGTTCCATCCCTAATCGATATCGAATTAAATTGAATCTTATCGAATTGCAAGCTTGTGTATTAAAATCAAATTGAATTGTGAAATTTGTGTCAATGAGCCCCATTTAAAATTTGTGCCAGCCCCATTTAAAATTTGTATTGGGAAGCTGTTGCTGTGAACCTACGTCATGATGTCAAGAGCTCTCCATGCAAGTCAAGCAAGTTATCATTAAGCTTCAAAACCAAAATAAATCAATCAGAGATATAGAAGGAAAAACAGTTTGTGGTAGATGATTGCAGGATCCTTTCGATGGTTAAAAAAAAAAAAACCTTCACAACATCCAGTTGAATAACACTCTCCAGGAGGTTGGTGTGTCATTGTCAAAGTCTACAATCAAGAAAAGACTTCACAAGAGCAAATACAGAGGGTTCACCACAAGGTGCAAACCATTGATATGCCTCAAAAATAGAAAAAAAAAAATAGAAAAAAGCCAGACCAGTTCTGGAAAAGAATTCTTTGGACTATGAAACTAAGATCAACCTGTGCCAGAATGACAGGTAGAAAAAAAGGTATGGAGAAGGCTTGGAACAGCTCATGATCCAAAGCATACAACATCATCCGTAAATTACGGTGGAGGCAGTGTGACTCCATGGGTATGCATTGCTTCCAATGGCACTGGGCCACTGGTGTTTTTTGATGTTGTGACAGAAGAAAGAAGCAGCCGGATGACTCCTAAGTGTATAGGGATATACTTTCTGCCCAGATTCAGCCAAATGCAGCAAAGTTGATACAAGAACGGCGCTTCACAGTACAGATGGACAATGACCCAAAACATACTGCAAATGCAACCCAGCAGTTTTTGAAGGAAAATCAGTGGAATACTCTGCCATGGCTGAGTCGCCTGATCTCAACCCAATCAAGTATGCATTTCACTTGCTGAAGACAAAACTAAAGGAAGAAAGACCAACAAACAAATAACTGAAGACAGCTACAGGAAAGGCCAGGCAAAGCATCACAAAGGAGGAAACCAAGTCTTTGGTGATGTCCATGGGTTCCAGACTTCAGGCTTTGAATTAGGGATGTGCACGATTAGTCGACTGGTCAACTAAACGATACAGCTGCTACTAGTCGACACTGAAAACAATAGGTGATTACACAGGGAAAAATTACACAATATTTTATCGTTCAAATTACTGCCGGACGCGTGCCGTGGAAAAGGGATTGAGGCCGGTGGCACGAGTGTTAATGAACGTCACTGCGCACTGCACCAATCTGGAGTCCCAGGAGCTCCGAAGGGTAAGAGGAGAAGTGACGACAGTGGAAGACAAGAGAAGACCAGGCCTGGGACATTTAACCCTCTGGGGACGGATTGGGCGGTACCGCCCAAAATGGCATACTTTTACAAATGTGTAATTATCTTAAAAACTATTAATGATAGAGAGCTGCGGTCTTTTTTACCGTCTTCCTCAGATTCCGCTGAAAACAGCGATACCCGGCTTTGTAAATATACACACTTCCTTGTTGCGCAATACCACTATGTAAAAGGCCAATGAAATCGATGTTGTTTGGCAGATTCCGC